GGGGCGGCGGCGGTGGCGTCCCTCAAACGGAGTTCGTCGCCCGGTGTGCAACAGCCGGTCTCGCACCCAGAGCCGAGATAGCCGTTTATTCCCTGGTTGCGCAAAGATGGGTGCTGGGGGGTAATTCCACAAAGCTAGCACGCTACACACAGGAACCATAGCTTATTTCTCCTATTACATGATTAGGAAAAAACCTATCTTAAGTTTATCCTCGTTGCTCCGTAATTACCATTCTGCTTGCTGTTGGTGAGCTATATTTAAATTAGCCTCGCTTGCTGTGTAAATTAGGACGCATGCTCCTTGCAGGGATGTGTGTGTGTTTACGGGGAGGCAGCAAGTTTTTTGGTCTTGAATTGAATCTGTGGATGCGATCTTGCCCCCCCCTGCCTTTACTTCTCCCCCAGTTTCCACAGCTCATGCTTTTTTGGGTAATCATCCAGCTTCTGGGGCAGGATGCTCCCCTCTTATCAATCCTTTATCACCTCTTCAATGGTGAAGTCGTTCGCAAGGCCTGGCTCCTATCAGGCTTACACAATAGAGCCACAAAACATGGAGCTTACACAATGGAGCCAGTGATTAGTGGTCCTCGTGCTTGATAGAAATGGGGAGTCGCTGTTTGGGCCTTTCCCTTCTCTTCAGCTCAGCTGCACCACCTGGCTGGGGACACGTTGGTCCCCAGTGTGAGAGTACATAGAGAACAGAGGCCGCGGGGCCTGCCCCGAGGTCAGGTCGGTCCCTGCCCCCTCAGGGACCTTTCTCCTACCTCCAGGGCTGAGCCCCTGATAGTGGTGGCCTTCACCTGGCTGAGGTGTGGTGGTACAGGCTGGGGCAAGTTCCTGATGGGAGGAAGAAGTTGAGAAAATGCAGTACGTAACTGCCCAGCTTTGGTGAAATGTTTAATTGTGGTGTGCTTTGGAATGAGTTTTTATGTAAGTACAGTTACAGAGAGGAGGAGAGAAACATTAGTGGGTTGTGAGCAGGTGGGGGAAATGTATCTTTGACTCAAAATGATCTTTTGGCGGAGCAGGGAGCTGTCAGAAGGCAGCACATTCAGATAGAAGGGCTCCTGAACCAGCAGCAGGCAGGCAACTACTCCTGAGGCCTGTGAAAACTTTATGCCTGGTGCTTGAATATGCATGCTCAGGTCTTGCGTTGTGCATGATCTTTTTCTCAGCTTGGTGCTTTGAGGCAAAACCTGTTGCAGGATGCGTTTTCAAAGTGAATCAGTCTAAGGATTTGCTCAGCTTTATTATACTTTCTCATATTCTACTCTTACTGCATGATTTCCTGTAAACCTTGACAGGGATTTTCAGATCTGTCCTCTTGGATCTGCCCTGAGGGTAGTAGGCCCTTTGTCTTTACTTAATATTTCTCCTTGAGTATTTGTCATGATTTTTTTTTTTTTAACCCTGGCAGGTTTGTGGTGGGAATAACTTTCTTGTGCCTATTTTTCTCCAGAAAATATGAAGGACGTGAAGGAGCCGAGGCATCGCAAAGACAACAGGCGCCCAGACCTGGAGATTTACAAGCCTGGCTTGTCCCGACTGAGGAACAAACTTGTGTCACCAAAGCATGAGGCCTCGGAGAACAGTCTCAGTGACAAGGGCTCTTTGGGAGGAGCGGCTCCAGTCATGGAGGATTTTGGCAAAGGTGATAGCCCCAAGCAGAATGGTCCTTTGGAGGAAGATGAAGAGACAGACACTAAAGATGGTTTTCAGAGCCAGGAGAGCTTGTTCAAGCAGCCTGCTCCAGATGAGTGGTGTCCCAAGACCACCAGGAGAACCAAGAAGCCAGACCAGCAGATCTACCAGCCTGGGAAACGCCTGCATTCAGCTGCTAAAGAACCGTCCCTGCGGTCAGCTACTGAGGAGGTCACCAGCAAGATGGAGCAGCTGAAAGTTGAGAGAGATGAAGAGACTGAGAAAGGTACTGGAAAAGACAGTAACAGGAAAACGAAATCAAGCAAGGAGGATAGAGAGGGGAGCCAGGCATGGGAAGGAGTGAAAGCCTCAAGGGGAGAAAAAGGAAGACAAATAGAACGCAGCAACAGGATAAGGAGAACGAGTGACGAGGTGATGCAGGAGAAGCTGGGCTCTGCCAAATGGTACTCCTACACGGACAAGCGGCGGAGCCGGTACCGCACCTGCAGCACAAGCTCAGCCGGAAGCAACAACAGTGTAGATGAAGCCCCACTCGTGGATGGAGTGGAGAGGCGTCAGGAGCGTGCCAGAGAAAGAATACGTCCTAGGAAGCAGCTCTCTACGTCCTCCACTGACTCCTTGGACGATGACAGAACTGATGAGGCAGAAGCATATGTTTCCAGCAGGAATTTGGACAAGAAAAAGTACTCAGGGCAGAGTCGAGCTTCTAGGAGCGAGAGTGAATGGAGCAGCAATGGCAAGGAAGTCAAGGGATCCTTTCGAGTTACATTTGACAGCAAGACTATGAACAGGGATATCAGTCTGGCAGACACAGATAAAAAAAAGCCCCTGAAGGCAGCGAGGAGCCAGAGCAGAGAGCCCCAAGGGAAGGGCCGTGGGATTCTGTTCCTGCCTGCCAACACGGACCTCTCTGCCAGCACTGCCAGCTCCCCTGAACCTAGTCACCCTGGGCCGAGGCTCCTGCTCACCGGGGCTGGGGGTAAAGGTCCCCGGAGCAGGGGCCGAGGCGGCACTGCTCGCAGGCTGTGGGACCCAAATAACCCGGACCAAAAACTCACTCCAAAAAGCCAGACTGCTCAGCTTCATTTTCTAGACACAGATGATGAAGTGAGCCCCACTTCCTGGGGAGAAGCCCGCCAGGCCCAGACACCCTACTATAAGTTCCAAAACTCCGACAACCCCTACTATTACCCTCAGGCCTCCGGTCAAGGGCCCCAGTATCCATATGGTGGGTACTCCCTGCAGTATCCTATGGGTCCAAGCAATGGTGTGTACCCAGGAGCTTATTACCCTTGGTACCCCGGCCAGGCAGGGCAGTACATGTGCAGTCCACTCCCCCCGACTCCTCTGAGTCCCAAAATGGAGCAGCAGATGCGGAACATGAAGCAGCAGGAGCTCAGCAAACTCCTCCGTGAGGCTGGGAACCAGGAGCAGCAGCTCAGCAATCTGCTTTCCAGAGACCGCATCAGCCCAGAGGGGCTGGAGAAGATGGCTCAGCTGAGGTTTGTGGCTGTGCTGTAGAGGGGTGTGTGACCAAGTCATTTCCAGGGTGAACTACCAAAACTGTTATCCGGAGAATGGTGTGTCCTTGGGATCTGGTATACTGGAGATTTCAGTGTCTCAGACTGGGGGATGGGGCAGTGGCTCACTAGCTTTTGATGTGCTGGGTCTGTTCGTCATGTGCCAGTTGTGTGTGGGTATCAGAAGGAAACTGTGGGTGAAGATATCATTTGCCTGGGCTGGGAGCTAAGCTGTGGCTTCTTGTGGTTGTGGAATGCTTTGCTCTATTGCAGGGATGCAGAAGATCAGGACAAGCACCCACTGCTTGGGTTGTTCTTGCTCTTGCTGGAGCTGATCTCTTTTTCATGCTTCTACTAGTTGCTGGTGGACTTCTGCTTTCTCACCTCTCCTCAGTTATCTGCCGTCTAATTTGCGTTATAGGCTTCAGGGGTGGCGACTGCCAGCTTGTCCTCGCGCAGTGTTCGTGGGTTCCTTGCTGTGTCTCAGCCTCTCCGGCACTGGGTAGTTTTGCTCTTGACACCGCTCAACCCTGTGACACGGGGCAGTCCAGTGAGACTGGCCTGATGACTCCATCTAGCGAGAGGGAAGTGACACCGGTGCTCTGGAGGGAAGTTAACATGGCTGTAGCAAGTTTCTACTTGGCATCTTTAACATTTACTTGTGACCTCCATGTCCCCAGGGCTTCTCTGGAGACTTTATTTTCAGAGCTGACTGGCAGGATATCTAGCAGGTGAGCTCGCTTCAGGGCTTATTCTGTGTTTTGGGGACTTGTGCTCTAGACCACAGGGTGGGCTATGTCTGCACTTGAAGCAGCCCTGGAAGTTTCAGATTATCTTAAGGTGTCAAGGTCACTCAGAGCTGTTGTCTGGAGGGAGAGGAAAGACTGTGCAGTGCTGCTGTGGCCTGTGTGAAGCCCACTCTGCCCTGGGAGTGTAGGCACAGTTGGCCCCGTCCCTGCCATCAGCGTCCCTCTGTCTCACCGTGTGTCCTGCCAGTGTCCGAGCGTGCTGCCCGCCTGTCTGCGGAGCTGGGGCTCTGGAACTCAGGTGCTGCTTGTCAGATGTCTGTCTGCAGAAACATCTAATTCTCTTGATTGGTGTTTGTGCTGTCCGAGTGCGTGTGCGCAGGGTTTGGGGACTGCCTGGGGGAGGACAGCAGAACCGTTTGTGCTTTGCACAGGAACCTGCCATTACTCTGTCAGGCTCGTACAGGCATTGGCATCTGGCTTTGCTCTAGGCTTTACCATCTTTGCTGTTTACTGGTTTTTGTAGGGCTTGAATCATTATAAGGGATAAGGCTGCCAAGGTGCTGACACCTGAGGATTCCCTTTACCATAAATGTGCCCCACATACACAGAGCTGATTTTAGCTTGCAACTATTTTATTAAATTCGGAGGAGGAATCCTGCTGCAGCGTCCAGGCAAGACTGTAGGTAGCTGGTGAAGGGAGTATGATTTCTGGGGACTCCCAGGCTTTATTTCCTTTAGGTGTGGATGTTTCCAGCTCTCATTTGTTTATGAGGAAGCAGGGTCTTTGTTTCTGCTGTGTATTTTGGTTGAATAGAAGGGCGGTGGGGATCATTTTAATGACAAGATGTCTCTTGCCTTCTGGTTCTTTGCGTGTTTGTTCCTGGCCTGTAGTAGCCAGTCTCTGTGCTCAGAAGGAGCAGAGACTGGCACTGCACACTTTCTCTGTGTTAGTATCAGGAGGTGCTTGTGCCTTGCTCTTCCTGGTGGCAGAACTGTAGCAGAGCTCCTTGCTCTTTGCCAGACCATGATCCGTTCTGATGCAAGAGTGAGGGTCCTTTCAGATTTACCCTCTTGGAGCGGGAAGGGTGTTTGATTGCAGCCAGCTCCCATCTCCCTCTGGGATGTGTGTGGAAGCATCAATTTGCCATAGCATGTGAGCCAGCGGAACTGCTGACATCTCGTGCTCGCTGGATGAAAGCAGCGGGTAGCTCAGCACATGTTTCCTGGCAGCTCAGGCCCAGGCTGGGCAGTTGCTGTTGTATTGACCACAAATTGTGTTTTGCTGTAGGGTGGAGATGCTGCAGCTGTATGAATGGTGCATCCTGATGGATATTGAGTTCTCTGATACCCAGAATGTGGACCAGTTGCTGTGGAAAAATGCATTTTACCAGGTGATTGAGAAATTTCGACAGCTCCTCAAGGACCCTCAGGGGGAAAATGCCCAAGAAATTCGGAACAAACTGCTCCAGCTTCTAGATGAGGTAAGAAGAGAGAAGCATCCCCAAACTCCTTAAACCTTTGGGCAGGATTGGCTGGTGTTTAGAATGGGATGGTGTAACTGGGCAGCTAGCCTTCCTGATCGTGTTCGTATCTCTGTGTGCCTTAGGCCATCCTTTTGCAAGGAGAATGCTCAGACAGTTTATGGTATAGTTTTGCAGGTGTAGGTCCAGGTGGACATTTGTTATAATTTAAACCGGGCTTGTTTTGGTGTGGTTTATGTTAATTAGACATTGATTTAAGCTAAAATGAAATAAATGCCCTGAAATGGAAATAAACAGAAGCATTCTTGGAGGTGTTTGTGCCAAATTTATCGAATTTGCTTAGAATTCATTATGTTAAACTACAGCTCAGTTTACTCTTCGTAGAAGGTAGGCTGACAGATCCGAGAGGATGTGTTTAATAGAATTAAGTTGGTGGGAAGGGACTGCTGGAAGGCTTTAGTCCAACCTCCTGCTCCAAGCAGGACTTCTCAAATGCTAGATCAGGTCAGCCTTGATTTTGTCTATCTTAGTCTTGAAAACCTCTGAGGCTGGAGATCCCTTGACTTCCTTGTTGTTTTCTGAAGAGAAACAGCCCAAACCTCAGGGACATTCTTTCTTGCATGTGTCAGTGATGGTGTGGTGATTTTGTGCTTGTCATCAGAAAGATTTTAACATCCAAGTGTGTGTGTGTGTGTGTGTGTGTGTGTGTGTTTTGCAGGGCACTTCTTTTTTTGACGGCCTACTCCAAAAGCTGCAGGTGTCGTACCAGTTCAAGCTGGAGGACTATATGGATGGGATGGCCATCCGCAGTAAGCCTCTGAGGAAAATGGTAGGTTGGCTTTCTCCTGGAGACTTCTCATCCTGTGAATCGTATGGCACATGCTGAACTCAGCATGTTGCCCTTGCCAAGAGGTAGGCAGCTGTACTCTGAACAGATGTCAGTATGCTTGTAGGGACTCTTTCTCAGCTGCTAGAGAACTTGTTGAACCAACTCTAGTGCATTAACATTTCTTAGATTCCTTTGCAAAGAACTTTTTTTGTACCAGCTCTGTGACCAGGGCTAATAAAAGAAGTGTCCAAAAGTGCCTTGGCTTTGCCTTAGATATTGAACATCTCTTATTTCTGTCTATGGAATCCAGAATAATGAACAAGAAGGGCTAACAGTTGTACTCCCTCCCTGATACCTGACAGCGTGTTGCCCTGAGCTGTGAGTGCAACTGCAAGGGACAGCTGGGAAAGCATCTTTTAGTCCAGCTCCATTCCCAGAGATGAGTTCGTCTAACAGCTGTCCTCAAATTGGTCACGGACTGAACAACTCTCTTCTGGAGAGAGATGGGATTTTGTAAGAGAGGAGGTGTTTAGGGGATTGGCTTGCCCCTAGAAATCCTGAACCAGTGCCGTGAAGCCTTGTCATTTCATTCTGCTGCCCTTTTGTGAGACCTTCAGTGTGTCAGCGACCTCCTCTCAGATCTGTGCAGTCCCTGTGTGCTCACTGGCTCTGCAAGTGAGCCAGGGCTGTGGAGGTCCCACATGATGTCCTGAATCCTTCTTTCCAGGTGAAGTATGCGCTGATCAGTGCCCAGAGGTGTATGATTTGTCAAGGGGACATTTGCCGATACAGAGAACAAGCAAACGACACCACAAACTACGGGAAGGCACGCAGGTATTGTGTTCTTCACTGCAGCGCTGAGCGCAGCTTTTCTTCTGTCTACAAGGGATGTATCTCATTTCATGCTTAAATTTGCCTCTAGCCAAAGAAATCTTTCCACTCCTCTTTATTGTAATGCGGTCCTGTGAAGCTGAAAGATCTCTAGACTGTTTTGCTGCCCCAGAAAGCAAGCCAGCAGATCTAGTCGTCCTCCAGCTGTCTTAGTGTGGAAGTTGTCCTTTGCTGCTCCTGCAGCTGGGAGGGTTTATGCTGTTGAGGCTGGCAGAATGGCTGTTGTATTTTCTGGGAGCTTTTCAGCTAGGAGAGGTTCCCATATGTGTCCGTATGTTCTGATTGCATCAGGAGTTACTGGTACTTGTTGTTTCCTGTCACTCTTGTTTTTCTGATATTTTTTTTTTCTGGAGCAAAGACTTGAGGTGGGGGGCAAGTGAGCCCAGCATGGGGTATGGAGCAGTAAAATCTGAGGAGGTTTGCAGAACAGGGCAGGGGAAACTACTAATTTTGGGGTCTGTGGACATTGTGGAGTATACTGATATCTCGGGGAGACTGGGGGGAACATAGCAGGTTCATGATGTGTCTGAACACTGTTAATGGATCCGTGTGGCATCATGAAAGCTGGAGAGGGGATAACACAAGGGAAAATAGAGAGGAGAACTGGAGGGATGAATGGTCTGCCACTGAATGGATACCTCTTGGGATGATTAGGTATCTTGAAAATATATGGGGAATGAGCTGAGGAATGTAGAGGGTTTGGTCCCAGCTGCTCTGGAGCTAAAAAGGGGACTGAAAGAAACGTTCCTTGAATAGCCTGTTCTCTGTGCCTGAGGCTGCACGGGGGACAGCACCTGCTGGCTCCGACTAAACAGTCCTCTTCCAGCTGAGCCAAGAACATATCTTTCTGCAGCTGTATCTGCCCCGTCTTTTGACCTGTGCCCCAACTGCCTCTCCAGGCCAGGCGCAGGCCCGCTGCCTGTGCGCGCTCTTGCAGGCAGAGGGCACTTGTGCAAAGGGCCTGTTCCCGGCAGGACTGCCAAAGCTGTGCTGCGAGGGGAATTCTGCATCCTTAACAGCAAGGAAGGCAACCTGATGTCCTTTCAGTAAATCTTTCTCTCTGATTCTTCCCTTCCTCAGCTGGTACCTGAAGGCTCAGCAAATTGCCCCCAAAAACGGCCGCCCGTACAACCAGCTGGCACTTCTGGCCATCTACACGGTAAGGTGCTCATCAAGGATGTAGCAAGTGTAAGGAGAGCCTCTGGGATGGCTGTGAGCTTCCATCTGGTGGAGAATGGCATTGTTCAGGGCAGTGGTCCCAGATGAATTTTTAAAAAAAAAAAAAAAAAAAAAAGCTGAAGCAGGATGTGCCGTGTGGATTCCAGCTGCTGTGGCTTCAGGCAGCTTTGTTAGATACATGCTACTCCCTCAGGCTATCGGCATTTTGGGGACTGTTCTGTGGGCTGTTGAGAGTGCAAATGTTTTAAAGTGGGTTGTATTTAAAATTTCGCATGAGATTTTTATGCTCAAGGCCATGCTGTCATTAGGATGCTGTTTCTGTTTGCTATGTCTTCATTGAACTTGTGGGCACTGGTCTAAGTGATTTCCTTAGGTTTCTGTTTTGCTGGTTACTTCAGCAAGAAAACTTACTTAAGGAACGTGTGACAGCAGATAATGGAAACATCAGGTTGGGACAGAGGGATCTGTAGGGATCTGCCGACACTGAAAGATACTGGTTTAAAGCAGAGCAATTCAGAACTGCATGGTTCAGAAGCATGTTCCCTTCATGGCTGGGAATGCCCTGTCTGCCTCCCTGTGTGGGTCTTGCAGCAGTAAAGTGTCCTGCGCTCTGTGGAGGTGTGTAAGGCCAGCAGCATGTGTGCAAAATGCTAAATGACTGTGTGTCTTGGTAGCATAAAGACTTTGGAGGTGCCTTATCATGGTATTGCCTGTGGGAGAAAAGATGTGAGGGGATTATACTAGCAGCAGGCTGAAATGAGGGTGGAGTCCTGTCCCCAGCACTGGCAGGAGTCTGGCAAACCCTCCAGTTTTCCTGGGCCTCTCTGTTCTTTGTAAAACTCCTCTGGAGTTGTTTCCATATTCATAGTAATGTTGAAAAGAGTTATTTCCTGAATTGTCAGGAATTCAATAGTTATACCTTTGCCCTTTACCATGGTGTCTGGTGAGAGACTGTTGTGTGTGAGCCTCCAGGTTGATGGCTTCTGTAGGAGTCTTGAGACTTAAAGCAGGCGAGTCCCCAGACTGTGGTGTCACCTGCACTCCCTAACTCCTGGCAATGGGCTTGTGCTTTGTGCTGGTCATTGTAGGTAGCTGTGGATATAGGTAAAGAGTTCGAGGTCCTACTTATCACAGTTGTTTGTCAACAAGTCTGTCTGTCCCAGGCAGCGTTGAGAGCAAGGATGTGTGTGCTGAGGGACAGGGAAGACAAAAGTATGTGGGAGCTTGGCTCTGAATGCCCCAGAGCGAGTGGCAGCTCTGAGTCTGGTTGTGTTTTTGCAGAGGAGAAAGCTGGATGCTGTCTACTATTACATGCGCAGTCTGGCTGCTAGCAACCCCATCCTCACAGCCAAGGAGAGCCTCATGAGTCTGTTTGAAGAGACAAAACGCAAGGTGAGTCTTGGAACTGGGCTGTGGGATGCTGCAGCTGCCTGTGCTGGAGAGCTGTGATCCAGAGAGGAGGGTCATGGTGGCTTTTGGACTTGGAATCACCGCTTACCTGCTTCTAGGAAATTCCATGTTGGGAGTCAGATGAAAGGGGCAACCTTCAGAATGATGGTGTCCATCCTGCCTCTCCTCAGAGTGCTTTTGGGGTTGTTTGGGCTGCTGAATCCCTTGTTTCTGGGTCATAAACTGTAAAACAGCCAAGCTGAGCAAGGGCTGCAGGTTGCTGTGGTTTGCAGCATGGCCTTGGCACCCAGCATGATAACTGCCTTATCCCATAGGTTCCCCACACCTATGGGGGTGGACAAGAGAGGCTGCAGTCCCTTTGTGCCCCAGAGGGTCACCCCAAGTCAAAGGTAGAGCACATTGTCTAGGACTGGACACAGCTTTTCTTGTTGCAGGGCAGTTGGAGTTGAAAACCTCTCCTCTGCACTGTCCTGTAGTCTCAGAAACCAAATTCTGGACCTGTCAATGCATTAGTGTGATTCTGAAGCAGGGGAGAGGGCTAATTTCTCCATATAAATGGAATTACGCACTTTTCCTGAACTTTGATTCCCTGGATGATCCAAATCTGTCCTGTCTGCCCAGGCTGAGCAGATGGAGCAGAGGAAACATCAGGTGCTGGATCAGAGCCCCAGCCGCTGGGGGAAGGGCAAGAAGTCCACACTGCGACAAGTTGGAGATGATGCCACACGGCTGGAGATCTGGATCCATCCCTCCCACCCCCGCTCCTCCCAGGGCCACGAGTCCGGCAGGGATTCTGAGCAGGACAACGGTCTTGGGAACCTCAGCCCCAGCGACGTGAGTACTGCAGGAGGCAGCAGTTGGCTTTGGTGTCATGTGTTTGGAATGCAGTGGAATGACACTGGATCTGTTTTGCTTTCCTGTTGCTAAATTTTCCAGTGTTTTGGCTTCCCCTATGGGAGCTGTGCCTGGGTCAGGCTGAGGAGCTGGTGACCTTGTGCCTCTCATGTTTAAGGCATGTTGTTACCATCCATTTCTTGGCAGAGTGTGCTGGCGTGGCTGATCTGGAATAGGAGAGGCACAAACAGAAGATGCTGTAAAATGCCTCTGACATGCTGAGGGCTCTAACTTGGGTGAGGTTGCCGGTGGAAAATGAGGTCAGATGCTGAAGACCAGGGTTAACGGTGACCCTGTAGGTTCTGAGGCTTGTTCTGGAAGTGGGTCACTTGTCCCAGTGCCAGATGATCCGAAGTTTGCACTGAGAATGTGGAAACAGTGGTTTTAATTTCTAGTATAGGTGTTATATTTGCATTACTCATTCTGCTGAGAGGCCAGACTAGTACCTTTCTCTTGCAAGGATAGAAAAATAAGGGTATCTCTTGTCAGTCTGAGCTGTGTACCTTGCACAAGGAGCTCAAGTGAACTCTGTTTGTCAGGCACAGGAATGCAGGCGAAGGCAGTGGTGGTTGGGAGCTCATCCTCCAGGAATCCTCACACTGCTTTGGCACATGCGGCTTGCAGGAGAACTTGCCAGGGAGCTCTGGGCTGCCTGTCCTAAAATGGCTGTTAAGGATGTGAGTTTAGCAGAACTGGGAAGACCTTCTCCACATACTGCGGGGCCCAGAGCTCCTCAGATACGATTGCACTTTTGTAACTAGTTTGTGACTTCAGCTGGGTGGAACTGGGGCGAAGTCTTGAAGCTTTGAAAGATAAGCTCTGGCATATAGCTGCAGCATTTTTAAGACGTTACTGCCCTTGGTTGTTTTCCCTCTCCTTGGCTTTTCTTCTGGAGACCTCTGCTTCCTCAGCATCATTGAAAGGAACGTACCAAGCCTTAGCCTCTCCATAAATCATTGATGAAGATGCTTTGAAATAAGATGCTGTGAGTGTTTTTGAGGCACTAGGGGTTTCTCTTTTGCAGTGCTTCCATGTGAGGTAGTGTAACCGCTAGCAAAGCGCGAGGCAGTGATGTCTTGTTGTTTATAGTGCAGTGCTGTTTGCTAGAGCTTGCCCTTGGTCTGTTCGATGGGGGGCTGTGCTCTCTGAAGTGCAGGTTGCTGGCAATGCCTCTACAGATTGTGTGTCTGATTACTACCATCAGTTTTGATTTCTTCATCTGTTTGAAATGTTGGCTCGTGGAAAGCCTGAGCTTTCTGATCGTGGAGAGGCCACACGATAAGAAATACAGTGCCAAAAGGGCAAGGGGAGCTGAGGGTGCAGGTTCAAGTACTCCTGGCTTTGGCAGTCAAGATATTTGTACTCGGACCGCCTGTGCCTGCTGCAGTGCAGCTCTCCGCTTGTGTTGGCACAGCTGCTTACGGGGCTGTGCCGTGGCTGTGTTGCCAAACTGATCCAGATTAAAAATAAACAGGTGAAAAGGAAACCTTAAGTCTGTGTCGCTGCCAGAGCTCCCGAGCTGTGAAGCTGTGGGCTGGATAGAGATGGCAGCTCTTCAGAAACCTCTGGTCTCCTTGTTCTTGAAGCTATAGCCTTTTACCCTCTTCCTCACAGTATCTCTCCATGGTTTGCAGCTCCTTCTCTGGAAAGGAGCGGAGCAACCTGTGTGTTGCCACTGTGTGGCACTGTTTGGCCTCGGAAGGGCCCTGCCTGCACCAGGGGCAGGCAGCAGCCCTTATCCTGGCAGCACCTCTGCCCCACATCCCCCAGCTCTTCTCCCAGGGGATATGTGCCAGTGCTTACGTGTCATTTTGAGGAAATGAGTCTAAATGTATCATCGCCTCCTTGGTCCCTTCCTTGCCAGCTTCAGCCCTTGAAAAGGCTGAGGCAAGCCGTGTTCTTTCGTTTGTACTGACAGCTGTGCTCCGCAGGTAGCTCCTCAGGCGTCAGGCTTTATGGCAGCTGTTTCTGGGCCAGAGAAGGGAGTTTTACAGGGTAGAATGGGAAAGTGTTCAGCTTCCAGAAGCAGATACAACACTGCAAGTATAAAGCCTAACAGCTCTGGATGTGTACTGGGCAGAAGTGTGGGAGAGAGGCTGCTCGCACCCTTCAGGCAGAGGCTGTTGCTTCAAACCCAGCCCAAGCCAAAGGCGACTGGTGGTTTTGCTATGAAGATGCTGGCTGCTTCACAGGTGACAAGAAATTGATTTGGGATGTTTTCTGTCCTCAATGGTTACTTTCTTCCTTGTGCAGGCAGTTAGGTGCCAGTCCTGTCATGTGGCACATTTGGTAGGGAGATGCTGCATGATTATTCTCCCAGGACCTGCTGATGTGCGCGCTGTCCCCGTCAGCGAGCAGAGTCTGCTCAGCACATGCTTGTGTGCCTCTTCGCAGTGCTGACTTTATTTTTCCTTATGCAGCCCTATGCAAAGACACAAACATCATTACTTTATTTCAGGGTTAGGAGCCAACTGAATAGAGTTAGTAAAGCGTGATGGCAAGTCTGCAGAAAGCCAGCTCACACTGCAGCTTTTGCTGTGACAAGGGAAGGTGGCGTGCAGAGCTGGAGATTTGCCTCAGCACTGTGTGTTTAGGTAGAGGCTTGGCATAGCTGCTTTCCTTCACAGTTTGCTACATTATCTTTTCTAGGAAGATGCAGAACTGGAAGAACGTACCATCTGTCTGCACTGAGGGGCATACATCTCCGTTTGGCCCCTTCCTCAGTAACTGGCATGGGGGATGTGGGACTGTTTCAGAGCAAGCTGAAGAAGTGTTTGAGTTGCAGCCTGGCTGTTTTGTTTGTAGGGTTTTGTCCGTTAATGCCTGAGCCTTTTGGGGTTTCATTCTGTGAATGGCTGCTCTCTGTGGTCTCTTGTACGTTGCATGTTCTAGGTGCGCGGTGGCCGGAGAAACCAGGCTGATGCAGTGCCCTGCTTACCTGACAATATCAGGCCACTTCATGTGGGATTCCAATCAGAAATGCAAAAAAGGAGGATGAACTGAGGAGAAGTTGTGTTGCTTTTTTAAAAAACAACTGGATAGGGCAAAGGGAGCTGAAGAGCTCAGTCTCTGCCGTTTCTTCTCTGCCACTGGTTTCATTTGCAGTGGGTCTGTATTGATGTAAAATCTGATAGTAGTGTATGCAGCTTACTGAGTAGACTGTGAATTGGTAAAGTAAACAGGGCAAATGTGCTGTCAGTCTCCTGAGAAAGTGTTAATATTATACTGGGTTTGAGATTTTAATCACTCCTGTCAGGAAATGCTGAGTTAAGGTTCCCACAGTTGCTATTGCCTGCTGCCTGTGCTCTGCAGTAGATATTTCCTTGTGTTACTACGCAGCATGCATGCACTAATAAAGATTACTCCATAGCTGCAGCTAAGATTAGGGAAGAGAGGTTTTCCCTTGGCAAGACAGTAATTGAATAATACTTCTCTCCAGATGTCTGAATATTTTAGCTTCATTAAAGAATTATGTCTCCTAGCCTCTTTGTGAGAGGTCAATCTTGTAGAGCCATCAAAAGTTTGGTAGGGCCACCCAAAAGCTCTTAGGAAAGCTAAGGCCAGAGTCAAGATCTGTTGTCTCAGCCCTGTGTGTCAACTGCAGGAACTTTTCCCATTTCCCCCTAGACTGCTGGTTAGGGACAGAGTTTTGCATTTGCCTGGTGCTGGGTGCCCGTGGAGCAACAACCTCTTTGCACTAGCACAGAAACTGTGGTGGAATCATTAGCTCTGAAGTTCAGAGCATGTTTTAATTTCCATTTCTCTACACAGGCTTTCTTCTCATCAGCAGGGAGTATGGACAGTGCATCAGGGTTTCCTCAAGCGAGCAGTAATTATCACCAGGAGGTCTACCAAAAAGAAAAAAGGAGGTCAAAGTTCTCTCACTAGACTGAATATAGAGGGCTGCTTACTTTTGTGTTTCTTCTTTGTTACCTACTGCACTTGTCTTGGAAGCTTATTATACACATACAGGTGTCACTCTGTGCTGGTAAGGGGTGAGAGTACCAGGGGACAGAGCAGCGATGTCAGAGCTGGAAACAGTGTGTATCTTTGGGTGATTGTTTGTATTTTCTTTCCGATGAGTAGTGCTGGTGTCTTTTGGACCCTTTCATCTCCTTCCATCTCCCAAGTCCTAGAAAAATCAGATGAGTGCCAAGCACGCAGGGAAATGTTCCTTTGCAGCTGGAGGAGGGCACTGTCTTCTCCAAGCAGCGGAGGCTGTGAAAGCTATGTTGCTTTTTTCCCTTTAGGTCAGGATTGAGCTAACTGGGAACTTACTCAGCAATGCCTGGTTGGGGCTATCTTCACAACTTACTGTGATTTGTTTCCTTCTGAGATGAGGCATCTCTAAGGATTCTCACCTTCTGTCTTTCTCAGTAATTCTTGCCTGCTTAGTTTTATTTCTAACTTTGCTTGCCTCACCTGTGCACCGTGATGCTGCATCCACTCACACTTTTGCAGCCCAGTTGCAGTCCGAGGCTGGAGGAGGCACTTTTGGGAATGCCTGTGCATTCAGGAGCACTGAGGAGTCCTCAGGGCTGCCCACATCTCTGCTTCAGCAGAGGCCATGTGTCCTTAGTGAAAAGGGTCACTGTCCTACTGTCCTAGTCAGCTCCTGCATGTTTCACATCCATTTTTCCTTGGTGGTGTTTGTTTCTGCTCTGTGCACTTGTTCCTCTTGGGCAGCAGCCACTCGGGTGACTGGGCTGGCAGCTCCTGGCTGATTTTGGTCGGTGCAGTGTTTTGTCTGAGGGAGCTGTCTCTTGGGCTCTTCACCTGGAGAGGGGTGCTTCTAGAGAGCAGTGGGATAAAACCTCGAGGTAGTCTGGCAGCAGTTTTGGTGGGGATTTCCTGGCCATGTTGCTCCATCCATTGCCTGTCCTTTGCTTGGAGTGGTAGTGACCTGTACTGAGAGTTGGGGTTGCCTTGGTGTCACTACC